AAAACTTCAAAACACATGAATATCAACTAGATAGTAAAGTAAGTAAACAAAGTTTTGTTTCCAAAGGCAACTTGATATAGTTTTGTGATTGTTAAAATTAAAGCCAGTCAATTTTGCGCTAAAACCGTTAGGACATGTTTTAACGTTGTCTAGTTTTATCAGTAGCATAGGAACTTACAATACCCTATATCTTGATACCTTCCTAGTTTTTTTGATTTACCTTTTTCGTTACAAATATTGCCTTGCTTCTCTGAATAACCCTGTATAAGCTGTTCCTCAGGATAGAGTTTGTTCACATACTTTATAAATATCCAGGGTCAAGAAGTCATTATGGCTAGCCAAGGATCAACTCGCCCCATCATAGCTGTGATACATTATCACCAAGCTATTCAAGATGAGTATACTAAAAGCCAGTCAGCATTTCAAAACCATCAGTTAAACTTACCGGACTTACGCTCTCACCTGTTGAGAAAGTAAACTAAATTTCTAGTTGAGACCTGGCTGAAGCCAGAAGTTTGTAACTAAAGTGGATTAATAATCAAAACTTCCGTTCAACGTAAATCCTATTTCGTCTAAGTTTTGATAAGTTTAACAAAACCCTTAGGCCTCCGATGGTATCACCTTTCCATTCTCGTGAATTAGTTTACATTGCATATTTGAGAGCGCCGTCAGGGACGTTCTAAACAAACCTTTTTTAGGATCTTGGTAAACTTGGCTTCATCTCGTGACAGTCTACGGCAGTGGTCGATCGCGGTAGCTCGCAAAGGCAATTCTGGGGGCTCACAACACATATTTTAAAAAGGTGTAAAAATCACAGGTGCTTCCGTAGATTTTGTAAATTCTCATAACAAACACAAGCAGCGCCAACACTGCGGTGAGCGATCTGTTCGAGAACGATCTCGATTACTTTGAACGGAATAAATACGCAAGGCGCGGCGAAGGTGCGCTCAGCTTAAAACTGAACGGCTCAAAGTCCAGCGGTTGGGTTAGAGTTGGCATGCAATTAAAAACATTATGAGCAGTAGTAAGAAGATAAAGACATACCATTTCCAGTCAGAATAGTAAGAACAATATTTCCTTATATATATAAAAATGCATGTTTGTTATGTAATCCATCTGTTTCCGTTGCTAAACAAGGGAATATCTAGAGGCACTATAAAGCTGTACATTCGAATTTTGAAAAATCATTCCCATTACGTTATGCAACCAGAACGGAAAAACTGAAACAATTTAAAAATCAGTGAATTGGACAGCAGACAATGTTTTTAAAAAAATCAACAAAAAGACAGGAGCTTTCAGAACTTGCAGATTCATTACTTGCCAACTTTACCGTTTGTTGTAAGTGAAGTCTCCCGAAATCCACTCCCGAGTATCAGAAATCTTTGGGTATACCATATCAGCTGGAAATGTTCTTATTCAAATTGAATGCTAGCGCGCTGTTTCATAAACATTACGCAGATACTCATTAAAAGAATATAACAACACTCGATTTCTTGTTATCAATTTTACATTCAGACGCGTTACTTAAGCTTGAAGTAACACTTCTCATAACGTAGCTTTGTGTCAATATTGAAGGCCCTGTGATCGTGCTTGATTCTCTACCCGAGTACCTATCGAATTTGAAATGGCCAAAATATTAGTATTTCTTTCCATAAGAGGCCTGATCGCAACTTATCTTGAAAATTGAAGACCGCCTGTTGTGATTCATACAAAAATACGACCAACAACATAGCTTTTGTGCTAGGAAATCTACAAATGCAGTATTACTTACCTTTACGAAAACTTGATACACTTGCTGAGTACAGAAGTGTCTCGCCGCTGAATTTTTTGATATAAGTGATGTTTTGGCTGTGTCAACCATTAAAAACTAATATCTAGCCTATTATGGTTTCAGTGAAAATTCATCAGAGTCTTAGATCTACTTTTAAAAAATTTTCGAGGCTGAAATCGTTGATAATTCCGTCAAAACATTGGAACAAAGGTTCACTTACATTTTCTCAACTGGAAGATTTTCTTCGCAGTAGATGCCTTTTCTTGATGCCAAAAACCCAGAAGTAGTGATATTTGATAATTATCAAAACAAGATAGGCGTATTTAAGTTTGACGCATATACAGAATGCTTTGAAGCTCGACAGAAGCTAACTTGCTTGTCGTGCATATCAGAGAACGTCTTAATTGGACTAAACACTGTGGAGGACTTGTTAATAAGCTTGTATCTCTCGCTCATATGTTCAGGAATTTACGGTTAGTGCTCAATATCCAAGATACGCTTCAGGTATATTATTCACAGATAGAATCAAGTTGATTTCCTGGATTTAGGATTTAGCAGTCCTCGGTATAGATGCTCATTCCCCAACGAGAAGTTTCTGTCTGAAACCATTGGGAATAGCTCTCGAATCACTCAGATGGAGTGCTTGAGATTCATATAAAAATATAATAGCTCACTGTGAATCTGATACAGGAATGTTAGAAACTGATTAGTGGGGAGAACCCAGATAGATCAAACAATCGTACTATCTTTGCTTAGATAAATATTTGCCTACAGAATACAAAAATTCAAAGTTTTTGTGGCCGCTTGACAGTAATCTAAGGAAATATGATCATGTAATTGGCCCAATCTAAGATCAGGATGGCTCAAAATAAATAAGCTATTCAAAAATTAATTTTTAACATTTATAAGATTTATTATAGCCACTCACTCACCACTACGTTCATGGAACGGGTTAACATTTAGAAAAAGCATTCGTGATTTAAATTCAATGTACATGAGCAGATTATCCATACCAAGACACCGCACAGTCATGTTTTAGCAAATTATCAGGAATTTAAGTCACTGTTAGAAAAAAAAATTTATACACACACTAACATAGAAATTTTGGTAGCACTTCGTCTTTGTTGACTATTATCTTCGTCTGAATTTCTACCAATCACAAACGCGCTATTTTGAATTATACTAAGAGACATATAAATCCGAAAACCCAGTTTAATAGCTTTATTTTAATAAAAGTTGGTGAATGTATTTATCTTACTGTAAATAACAAGTGAAAAAATTTTCAGCCTTATCAGTTCTAAAAATGAATATTTCAGCCGCAGTAAAGAATCACGTTGGCGGATTTTGGTTCTTGACATCCTTTACGATCGGTTACGATGCCTAGAATACGGAGACCTGTACGATTTCGTCAACTTAGTGAGTTTGATAGGGGCCGTATAGTGGGACTTCGGGAAGCTAGACCTTCTTTTCGGGCAATTGCAGTTAGAGTGCAAAGAAGTGTAGACACTGTGGTTAGGTATTGACAGGCATGGCTTCGAGAAGGCCGTACGCAAAGAGCAAGGGGCACTGGACGCCGCCGTAGAACAACAGACCGTGAAGATCGCCGCCTAAGATTATTGGCCTTAAGGGACCGTTTCTCCACTACCAGGTCCATTGCAAATGAATGGTTTGCAGAACACGGAAGACTTATTGGCATGCGAAGTGTTTACCGACGAATGAGAAGTTTTGGCTTGTTTTCATACTGGCCACACTGGGTCCTCCCTTTAACTCGAGAACACTGGCGTAATCGCCTTGAGTGGTGCAGACCACGGTCACTCTGGGATCAGGAATGGAACAGTATTGTCTTTAGTGACGAGTCTCGATTTTGTTTAGGCATGCACGATGGTCGTGCCAGGGTTAGAAGGCGACGTGGTGAAAGGAGGAATCCAGTTTTTTGTTGAAAGACATGTTCATCACACTGTTGGAGTTATAGTTTGGGGTGCTATAGCTTATGGTTCCAGGTCACCTTTAATATTCATCAGAGGGTAACATGAACGCGCAGCGTTATATCCACGAAGTTCTAGAACCCCATCTTTTGCCCTATCTTGACACCCTGGCAGATCCAACTTTCCAACAAGATAATGCCCGACCACATGTTGCAAGAGTCACAATAGACTTCTTTCAACATAATGATGTCACATTGTTACCATGGCCACCAAGATCTCCCAACTTATCCCCAATTGAGCACGTGTTGGATGTGATGGTAGGAGAGTTGCTCAATTTGCAACGTCCTCCTCAGACTCTAGAAGCACTTCGAGAGGAGTTGGTGGTTGCTTGGAATGAGATACCACAGGAGGACATTGACCACCTGATCAGAAGCATGCCTAGGCGCGTTGGAGAATGTGTAGCACATCAGGGTGCATCCACACATTATTAAAGGTCAAAGGGCTTTAAAGCAGTGCAATCATTTTGAAATTTTTATCATTTACTTATTATGCTTCATTAAGTACTTATACAAAATTTTATTAAAATAAAACCATTTAAACTGGATGTTCGGATTTATATGTCACTTAGTATATATGTAACTGGTTTCTAGGTGGAAAAACTGTATCACAGCATCTGTCAGCAGTCTTTTCCAGTTTACCCGCGGCCAAACTTGACAGATGTTGTCATCAAAATTACAATACCTTTGATAGCAAGTAATTATGGTCTCCTAGGACACCAGAAAACTGTTACTCATGACAAAAACAGTGAAAATGCAGTTGCAAAAGTCCTCGTCTTCGACTCGGATTTTCAGTGCCACCAGCACTCATGCTTCTTGTTGAATATTACTTAACAAAAATTTTATTAGTTACCACCAACCATGTTTCCTGTAGCTGTTTCTTGGCTAACAACTCTGAATTGTAAGTCGACCGCTACAATATAGTAGTCCGACATAGTTGGGGGAAGTATGATAGTAGCTGGTTTCAAAATCTGAAGCCCAGAATAAGCCTAATGCTGTAGTCTCCATTATAAGCAATGCTCACTGTAATCCAACATGAGCAATAAGAGAAACATTTAATAAGTAATTTTCCAAATGACCTATTTCCCTATAAACGCTGTTATTTTGCATGGTAACTGATCCGGCTACCTGCGTTACGTCTTGGTATGTTGACAGGCTATATCAGCTCCAAGCATGTTGTTCTGTCACGAAGAATACTACTCTCGGTGTAGACCAAGCTTTAAATATACATATACATTCAACTTCTACTTACGGCTTCACTTCGGAGCACTGCAGCGCACCTGAAACAAAAGAATGGTATTAGGTTAAAAAGGTCACATCTTTCACATATTCTGTGGTTTTTATTGCTATTGTACTCGTATATCCATGTTCTCTAGCCATTAAATTGAACCACGTACGTAGGACTGATTTTTTACTTAATTTTTGTCACCTCAGCAGCTTCTTTTTTTGGGGTACAAATTAAAAATGTCAACGTCCACATTATAGATTCAATTGCTTTCATGTGGCATTATTTTTGTCACGTTCTCGATGTCGCTTGCCGTTGTTGGGGCAATAAGTGGAGGTGATGTGTCTGCTGAATCCAAGACAGCAGACAATCTCATGCTCACTTGTCGCTTTGTACAGGGTGAGTCTTTGGGAATGGGAATGCTTACCCGAAGTGATTCTGGCTTTGTTGGAGTTTCACAGTGCAATCTTAGAATTACGCGATCTAGGTATAGCACAGGCTGTTTTTGCAGCATACTTTTGAAGTAAATTACCACGGCTTGTATTATAACACGAGGAAATGCTGTTATGATTTCTACTCCCATTTTTAATAATTGATAAATAAATAAAACACTATAGATGAGATCTAAGGGTCAGTCAATGCAAAACAGCTGTCAAGTAGCATGCACATTTATGACCTAGCTCAATAAAGCTTGAATTTTTTTGGACAGTGGTCCTCTTCCAGCTAAGGCTCTAGGCGCAGCTGAGGTGTCCTTAGCTCACAAACAGACAGGTCAAAAGCAGTGGCCAGCAGGGGGAAGTGACGTGAGGAACATCACAAGGTTGCTTGCTCGTTTTCCAAAATTTACGGTATAAAAAACCCTATTTACATCAGAGCTTTATGTAAACGGGAAGGGATGGCCTTCAACAAAATCGGCTGCGAAACAGCTACAATGAAGCTACAAAATAAAGCTGGAGGGGTGTGAGTGGTGGCTCTCTTCAGTGCCTTTCCACGCTGAAGGTTAAACTCCCATTAGAAAATGGACGGGGTAGCACCTACACCAAAACAACTGATTGTAAGGTACAAAATAAAAGGCTACTCATATACCAAAATCTGCTCACGCAACTTATATAACAAGGTATCTTGATAGTAACACAAATATTCATGTACGGCTAGTACGTGTAGAAATCTCAAGGTGGCGCGCTGGTTGCAACTGGGCAGAACCAACTCTCTACAAAGGACCAACAATATTTTATAAGGAAATGTCTGAGACAGACGTTAATAATACTATAACATCAGATTTCAACACAATACTGAATCGCTAAGAAAGAAAGATATAATACTTGTGAAATTACACAATCAACAAACTATGAAATTTGCCAAAAGAAAATCATCAAGAAAGGTTTGGCATAAGAGTCGGTGCTCAATAATCAATAAAGAGAAATTCAAATTACCGGTAAGGGATCAAAATAGTAAAAAAAGGTTACGAGATCTTGTCACGTGACACAGTATAGAATGTATTATGATTGTTAGTTATAATTTCAAGATAACCATCGAGGTAGTAAAAAACAGACAAGTTAATTATAAACACGTGGTGACAGCTATTAGCTATCGGCAAATATGGAGATGTATTAATGAACTATTTTCTCATTTATTACCCAAGCACTAGTAATAATGCTCTGTTAGCAATTATAGTATGTATACCAGTAAGACATATATACCATCCTAGTTCACTTACACTCAGGTAACAATGAACGATTAAATGTTGGAGTATCCTGACCACAATTATCATTATCATTATCAGTAGCATATAATGCTCCCTGGTGAATACTTAATTCCAAATTATGACAGTTGCTGACTTTTGTCAAACAAGTTTGTGAATGCATACATTTTCGACAAAATAATATGTTCCTAGATCTTTCATATCTTTACAGATGAGACTGAAGAAAGGCAACGAGATTTACACACTTCTCCGGAGAATGGCTTGTGAAGCGACTGTTCCATCTGTGCTTAGGAATACAGTACCCGAAAGGTAATAGAACCATGCTCATTTTCTCTCAGTCATTTACCTCATTTTAAGAACTAACCCCCGCGTATCTACAAAGAGATATTGTCACAATTTTGAAGTACGTACAATTAATTAAACATCGTCAGTTTTTTTAGTATTTTTCCTATTTGACAGAATTTTGTGAGCATTTTCATAACTGACAAAGTGACAATATAGCGTTACAACATGAGGCTACCACCGACCGAGTTGTAGGGGGATCAATGTTTACTAGGCCCTTCCAAGGTATATGAACGGACCAATATTGTCTCGTTTAGGATCTCATGCAACCTCCAGAAAATGGTTGTACTGCAGCAGCAACCTATTCTCAAGGCATTATATATTTAAATAAAAAAAAATCTTAGCTGAGAGCATGAAATAATGCGATTTATTATGTGCGTTACATATCAGAATAAAGGATTGACACGCAATTAAGATGCCACTAGATACTCGGCCAATAAATCTTTTAGTTGAAGTAAATTTCATGACTGATACTTAAAATTGTTGCGAATGTTCTTTTGAACACAACCGTTACCCAGAGGGTGAACAGCCACAATCTGGCAGACCTGCGAAAAAAAGATTCATGAAATATATGGCATGGAACCATAAGAATGAATAATGTTGCAAGTCAGAAATCTCCGTGATGACAGGTTCCTGCACTGTGCCGAAATATGTCTACAACAGTTATGGGCGCATTGTATACCTAATGTAAAATTCATCTATACAACGTAAACAATGTAGCCTATAAACATAATCGCAAATAATAGTTCGTTTAGGTCGCTTTCTTATATGCAACGACTGTAGAAGTGATTTTTGAATAACTAGAAAAAGTGTAAATATAGATATCTATTATATATATATATATATATATACAACGTTAGAGTTTTAATTTATTAAGGATTATCTCTAAAATAAAATACTTTTTGTAACTAACTAAATCCACCGATTTGACTGGTATCATCCAGCGTCGTCACCATCATTAAATCAATATTTATATATATATATATATATACAGGGTGACTTTGAAGTTGAGTCATTAATTTTCAGATAATGATTGTAGAAGGAAGATAAACCAAAATATGTTTGTGAAAATTAAAAAAAAATGTTACCTTGTTTTATAAAGTATCCTCCCAACAAGTATTTCAGTGCGGACCTGTATTTGATCGTGCAGTCTTGGAGCCCCGGCATGCCCTCCCCTGTGAGGTCTTAAGTCACCTGATTTACGAGCCCTTTGTACTACATTAACAAAGGCACGAGGGGTTGGTTGCACTCAATTGAGAAACCGATCCGCATAAACCCGTGATGCCGCGGCAGCATTTTGTAAATAAGAATCATGTCCACAAGTTCAGCATTTTCAACACAAACAACTCTATTCACTCACGCGTTTCCGACTGACACATTGACTGAATACAACTGAATTGTAGTAAAACATAAGCGTTTCAAATTCTTTCGCTTTTTTGTTTCCGATGCGATGAACCGATAAGGCGGATTATATCCGTTGTTGCCAAACACGAGCACATAATATTATTATTGAGACAGGGCGGTACTCAAACTTCTAAAGGGCTATAACCTTGTTACTTTAATTTTACCAGAAAAATGTTATAGGAAAAAAACATTTCTTTTGATCAGATCTACTCACTGTTAAAATAAATGACTCAACTTCGAAGTCACCCTGTATATATATATATATCATTAATTTTCAGATAATGATTGTAGAAGGAAGATAAACCAAAATATGTGTGTAAATATAAAAAAAAAATTAAAAAAAAATGTTACCTTGTTTTATAAAGGATCCTCCCGACAAGTATTTCAGTGTGGACCTGTATTTGATCGTGAGGTCTTGGAGCACCGGCATGCCGTCCATATGTGAGGTCTTAAGTCAAATGATTCACGAACCCGTTGTACTACATTAACAAAGGCACGAGGGGTTGGTTGCACTCGATTGGGAAACAGATCCGCATAAACATGTGCCATTTTTTATTTCGTTTGAGCCACGCAACAGACACCACTATTCACTACCGACTGACACTGACTGTATACAACAATACAACTGAATGAAATAATTGTAAAAACATCGTTCCAAATTCTTTCGCTTTTTTGTTTCCGATGCGATGAACCGATAAGGCGGATTATATCCGTTGTCGCCAAACACGAGCACATAATATTATTATTGAGACAGGGCGGTACTCAAACTTCCAAAGGGATATAACTTTGTTACTTTAATTTTACCAGAAAAATGGTAAAGGAAAAAAACATTTCTTTTGATCAGATCTAGTCACTGTTAAAATAAATGACTCAACTTCGAAGTCACCCTGTATAATTGCCGGTTTTTGCTGATGTTTTGACGCTTGCAAGTGAACTTAACCTCACTTATTGCTATTCTATACACTGTTATCATTGTATACATTTTATACCTATTGCTAACATTGTATACGCATCGTGTACATACATAACAAAAAAACCTATACAATCAATGTATACTCGTAAACGCAAGTCTAAAAGTGACCTTTCAAACCTCACGAGCCTACGCTCATGAGGTCCATCTAAAAGAAATTCCAAGCGATATTAATCCTCCTTTTGTTTAGCTGCATAGGGCGAGTAACATCCGTCTGAGTAGAAACAGGGTCGCCAACAATAGGAAGAAATTTCTTTGCGGCACAGCGATGCTTGCCACCGACATGAATGGTCACCGATATAAAAGCTGAGCTCGTCCTTTCTTGGCTTTTTAATTTTTGTTGTTTTGCTGTTACATAAAGGACCGCGGCTTGGCCTCAAACCGATCATTTGCAGCAAGTTTTTGGAACATAAAGCGTACTTTTTTAAACCTGACATGTCTATCCTGGCATGGTATGAGGACATTGCCGGTTTAATATTGTGTTATCTGCAATTAACCAGATTATATGTGCTCTAGTATGTTGAAGATTCCTTTGGAAATCTGGGAGAAATTAGAACAATATAACAAAAAGTTCAACTTCAATGAGTTTATGGCTATAAAATTGACTATGTTATTTAAGCTTCCAGTACTCGCGCGGGGAAATCATGTAGGTACTCGCGTGGGGTACTGAGGTACCCCAACCTTTTCTTGTGTTTTTTTAATTTAAATAAAACAATAGTTGGAGCTTTTCTTTGAAAAATATATTCACACAATTTTTCTAAATGTTTTTATAACAGAACAAGAAATATTCACGTACGAAATAAATGCTAACATAATATTTATATAAAATCCTGACTAACAAATCAGGTCTCTGAAGGTATAATATGGCACAAGCATCTATTCGCTGTCACAATTGGTTTCTATTTCTCTGCTATCAAGGCAATTACGGCATACGAAATTTTGAGGAATTTTACATATCCACTCAACACATTTTACGCATGTAATTGGCGTTTTTCTATCAGCTGATCTGGGACATAAATAGCACCTACCTTTTCCAAGTTTTTGTTTCTTTGTAGTAGCCTTGTCAGTTGCTAGAGTAGTTTCCTCAGTGTTCAGTAAAGCGATAGCCCTTTTCTTTATATTTCTTGGGATATTATCCATATATATTCTTTTCATTATTTGTGGCCGTACTAACTCTGCAGCTAACTCTTGCGGGAAATGTTCTCTGTTTGGTTTTTCAAAATTATTGTTCATAGCAAATGGACAAGTGCGTTGATGCCAGCAATATTAGAATGTCAAAGAAAACTGTCAGAGGCCAACGTCGGCTATTTCTAGCCACGTCATACTGGGCACAAAGTTTGTCTACGACATCCACTCCAGATTAGTTCTGTTGTATTCCAGGATTATTTCAGGTTTCAAGCATTCCCTATCAACCTCGTCATCGTGGTGCATTGATGAAATCAGCAATACATTTTTGCCTTTTTTTTGAACGTAAGACAGCAAGGTAAGATCTGATTGAAAGGCAAACAGACTACTCTGTTCTGGTCTAGAAGCAGTCTGTGTGACTTCTAATGGAATCTCTCTTTTATTTTTCCTGAGCGTACCAACCATAGTCAATTCATCTTTCAATAAGTCCCTAGCAAGCACTGGAAAACCAATTATCCAT